AGGGGTCTCTGCAAGCATACAGAGGGGGCACTCTGAGAGGGTACAAGATGACAGCTTTGGAATTCTACTAGAAACAGTCGATCATATTTGTTGTCAAAGCTGAATTCAGGGCAAACTACGCTAAATTAGCGTTTTTAGCTAACAGCTACAATAAGCATAAAAGTTACCTTACGGCTATCTTTTGTTAACATGACGCTTGTTCTTATACATGTAATACATTTATTACCAACCTGGGAGTTTATCTGCTGGTCATTCGACATGACGAATGACTTCTGAAGTCTTAATTCAGCTCAAGACGCTGCAGATTCCCGTCAGTAACACTTTCGGTCCGCTAGTAAAACGTAGTTCTATTAATCTGCGCTTGAACCGGAACCGGATGTAAGTTCCAAAAAACTGAATTTTGGAACTGAAATTGAATTGTAGACCTGAAACTGAATGGTGAGAAGTGAAACTGAAATTATTCGAGAGCTGAATTTTAAAGGATAAAATGCAGTTTCAAAGCAAATCAATTCATTTTCAAACCATAAATTCAATTTCAAATTAGACTAATTCAAATTCAGTTTTCAAAAGCATTTATTCAAGTTACAATTCAGATTCAATCTGAGCAATTCAAATTCAAATTGAACTTATTCAAATTCAGTTTCTGATGGCACAGATTTCTACCCATAGAGAAGCTTTGCAGGAGTCGTTGGCAAACCGGAGCTCTGGCCTTCGTGCTGAACTTCGGCACAGTCGCCTCCTGCTTGAGGACATTTCTGTTTTGGGTTTTACAAAGAAGACTCTGTCTGGCTGAAAATAACACTTGACTTGTTTATACTTCAGATACTGTTTTAGAACCTGAGTGAACAAAACAGACCTTGATTTAGAAAAAAGAAAGAAAGGAAATTCTTATCTTTTGTTGTGGCAACACTGACAGTTTTCTATGTGGATATGGGAGCCGGTTTTCCAGAGGAAGAAATACAATAAAGAAGGAGGCTTGAGGAATAGTGTTTCTGATGCAGTGGGAGTCGAGGTTCAGCCATGACTGTATGTCATCTAGTCTGAATGACAGGTGGAAACTCAATTTTTCCCTGACATTGTGATAAAAAGAGAAATGTCACTCCATCCACGGCAGGCACTACTGCTTCACAATATCTCAGTGGAGAGCTCTGACTGTGAGCGAGAGGTGAGAAAATAAGGAGGAATTTCAAAAGCTCGGAAAAAAGCCTTACGACCTCAGAAGTGTGTTACGTTCATCCGATGTAGCACAAAGCTCCGTTCACTTGGCCTCTCGGGTCAGATTTAATCCTATTTGTTCACAACGTTGTGTCCCTTTGTCCTTGTTTGACATTTGCAGTTGGCGGTTATTTTTGGTGCTACTCAAATGAATTCATAGTACAGAGCAGGAGCTGCATGTGTACACTCATCTAACAGCACTCTAGGTAGGTTAGTGGGATAAAAAGCCATTCACTCAACCTATTCTGCTCCCACTGAAAAAGAAAATAAACTGGCGCTACGCACAGCACCTGAGAGCGAGCGGGACAAGCGTGAGGAGAGGAGGCATGTGCGTGCCTCCAGCTGGCGTCAGACAACGTGACCACCACAAAGAGATCTGTTTGGAGTAGATTCCACAAACTTAGTCCTTCAGACCTGTGACATTTAATCTCACTAAGACCTCATTTACTCTGTTCACCGGGTAACAACATTCCTAAGATTAACAACGAGCCCGCGCCACAAGCCTTTAGTGGAGCAGAGCAGTTTGTACCCATCCAAGCACACACACTGCACCTCTGTGTGATAAATAAGAAGCCGTTGTTCTGCTCTATACAAATATCAGCCTCGGTTTCAGGTGGATAAAAACTGTGGCAGAAGTCGGCTTTCCCGTAGGAGGAAAAGGAAAAACAAAAAAACTTCCAGGTATTGTGTGAGGACAAGCCTCGTCAATAGTGCTGGTTTCATTATAAGGATATTTGCTATGCAAACCTGAGGGAACAATGTTAGCTTTCTTACTGCAGGTATGTTCTGGCTGCCAAAACCTGGGCAGCGTGTAATGTTTACACTCCTCGGTGCCAGACTTTGTTTAGCCCACAGTGTCACTGGTGTATGACAATGGGACCAATGTTCCCATCAGGCACTACGATCCTGTTGTGTGATGTCTTTAATAAGCGCTGGGCCAGCTCAGGTAATCAAATATAAATGTGAGTGTTTGCTTGAGCAGTGGCTTTCATGAGTGAGGTGGAGGGGTTCCTGATCATCTCTATCAGAATGGTATAGGTGTAATAACAAGCGCCTGATTGGCTCATCATGTACAGTGTATTATTGGTGGCCACTTCTTTAGGTACACGTTCTCCAGACCACCCTTTGTCTTCAGGATTGCCTTCAACAAGTTGCTGGAAATGTTCCTCAGAGATTTTGGTCGGTCCTGCTGAGGTCTGTCAGCTGTACATCCACAGTGGGAATTTCCACCACATCCTGCTCTACTGGATTGATGTCTGGTGACTGTGGAAGTCTTTTGAGTACAGTCACGTTCAAGAAAACAGTTTGAGATTATTTGAACTTGATGAACTGACATGGCATCTTATCCTGATAGAAGCACAACCAGATGATGGTATACTGAGGTCAGAAAGAGATGGACCTGGTCACCAACTATACACTGGTAGGATGTGGTGTTTAAATTATGCTCAGAGATCCAAAGTGTGCCAAAAAACGATCTCCCACACCATTACATGAACACAGCCCGCCTGAACTAATGATTGAAGGCAGGACGAATCCAAGATTTAATGTTGCTCACACCAAATTCCCACACTGCCATTCAAATGTCGCAGCAGATGTGAAGACTCATCAGACCAGGAAACATTTTACAAATCTTCTGTTGTCCAGTTTGAGTGAGCCTGTGTGGACTGAAGTTTCCTGTTCTCAGCTGACAAGAATGACCCGGTGTGGTCTTCTGCTGCTGTAGTCCATATGCTTCATATTGTGCATTCAGAGATGCTCTTCTGCATGTTGTAGCAAGTGCTTATGTGATTTACTGTTGCCTTGTTATCAGCTCCAAGCAGTCGGGCCAAACAACAAGGCATTTTTAAGCATATTCTCTGTAAACCCTAGAGATGATCGTGCAGGAAAATCCCAAATCAGCAGTTTCTTAAATATTCAGACTCGCCCGTCTGGCACCAACAATCACCTTTTCCCCCATTCTGTTGCTCACGTTGAACTTCAGCAGGTCATCAGGAGTTGCTAGCCCCGATTAGATATTTGCGTTATTGAGCAGCTAAACAGGTGTAATTACCGAAGGGGCCGGTGAGTGTAGAGTATGTTTGTATAAGGGATTACCTGCAGTATAGGAAAGCTATTTTGGTAATTTAAAGTACAAAATATTACTTCAATAAAAAGATAAAGTGATCTTTTCCTATCTGTCTGTCTATAGGGCATGTTGGTAAAATATAGTGAATAGTGGGTAAGATACTGACTGGGTTTTTTTGGGTGGCTCTCTCATTTTATAAAAAAACCCCTAAATTTAATCTAAATATCAGCTCTATTCATTTATGTTACAGAAAATAATGCGTTTATTTGCTTTTCTTTTGTTTTTGTTTTTTTTCCCGATGGGCTAATTAACAGTTTATTAATAAAATAAAAGGCAGAGAATTTGAAAATAATTTGCTGCAGCTGTAAAACTGGTCTGGGCTAGTGTGTTCCTATTATTTGTCCACAGACTCTTCGCTCTGCTTCATCTGATTTTATTCCACATTAATTATATATTTTTTAATTATTTCCCTGTGTTGTGTCTGCTTTTGTAATAAAACGTGTTGCTATGCGAGGACGGCGAGCGCAGTGAGCAGCGCAGTGTCACAAAGCGCTCCGTCCCGGGTTTTCCCGCAGACCCTGCGTGGCCCAGCTGAGGTGACTGGCAGGACTTGTTTACTGGTGGGGAGGCTCGCAGAGAGAGAGACGGAAAGAGGGGAACCTGAGGGAGAGCGATCGCTAAACGGGAATCCAAGTTTTTACACTTGACCCGTCTTTTTAAGTCTTTTTTACGTATCGTTACCTCATCGTTTTTTTCTCCTGTCCTTTTCTTCTGGGCTGGCGGACTCGGACTGTTCACTTTAAGCGTGTTTTTGATTTTATTCTGATTTTGAACTCTCGTCGCCGACACCGAAACCTCGTTTGTTTTGGATTAGCTAGCTAACGTTAGCCGTTTAGCCCCCTCCAGCTAACGTTAATCTGAGGGAAGGAACGGGCGGCGTGGTGTGGCGACTTCCCTCACCTCACGGCGGCAGCGTGCACGGTGAATGCGGGCATTGTTGTTGTTATTTTCTGGCTTCTTTTACTCCTCGCGGGGAATGTGAGAGCAAAGTGGCGTTTTTTCAAACCTTTCCAGGTTAGTTTTCCCCTCTCCGCCGTTTTGTCGTTTTTACGGGCTTGCGGTGGTCAGCGGGGGTGAAGGAGTTCAGAGGGAGGTCGAAGCGAGGAAAGCTGCACGTTTTTCCTGCCGGAGTTTCCTGGGATGTGCTCCCTGCTCAAAGAAAAGGGAGACGAGCTTGTGTGAAGACACCAGGACGCAGGAGGTGATATAAAGACTTCTGAAAGAAAACGAGAGCTCAAAGGCTGCCTGTGTTTTTTGGGGGGTGCTATTCACAACTCCAGCGCGTGTCTGCGTGAGGAAAACAGCGTTTTGTTTTTGAAATACCTCCCGGGGTCCTCCCTCACTGGAGCGGCACATTACAGGGAAATGAGCCCGGGGCCAGCGGACCTTCTTAGGGGATCTCCAAACTAGCTCTGTCTGTGTGTGGGATATTATTATTAATAATAATAATAATAATAATAATAACATTTCCCCCCCTTGATTTAGCGGGGCACCAAAATCAAACAGATGAACGTGGACTGTCGACTTCACTTCTGGAAAATGAAATTTTTTACTCGCACATGTGTCGCCAGAACCCAGGATCACGTTATTTAGTGTCTCACGTACATAACACATTTGGCACAGAAGACAGTTATCAATTTATAACCCCCTTACAGGGGAGGAAACCTCAAATCGGCTGGCTTTATTGGACCTTTTTAAGTTTTTAGCAATTTCTTAGTTCACTTTAAACATTTCTCCCTGAAGATTGGAATTTTTTTTTGAACGACTTCAAGAAGCGAGCATAACTTATCCTCCAGCCAAAATGAGGCGGCTGACGCTTAAACTGCGAGCACAGATGGTGTTGTTTATCATGTGCACCTGCATTATATGCCAGTGTGGACTAATAAAAGGAGAAAGTGAGTATTATTTCATTTTTTAATGACTTCTTATAACTCATAACTTCACGTGAGTGTGAAGTGTGTGTTCGCGGGAAATGACCCTGTCCTAAGCGCAGATGTTTGCATTATAACATGAACAATAGTGTGTTTTTCTTGAACCTTGCAGTCACTGCTGGGGGGGCATGTTCTTCTTTTTATCAATCAGCGTGATAATGTGAGTCACGGGACTGTTGCTTTCATTTTGGCGCATGCTCAGATTCTCCTCCAGGTCTAATTAAGGGGCTCGTAATTTCCGTTTTGTGCGTGTGGCTGATAACTTGGCGCACAAATATTAATTATCGGCTAATAAACCCCGCCCCTCTCGCGCCGGCTCTTAAAGGTACATATTTTAGCGGCCCGCGCTAAATGCGCCACCCGAGGGTCAGATTAGTGGCTGTAACTGGACGAGGGTGGTCCGCGGCAGCGAGCCTAAACTGGGGGCGGCAGGATTGGCCCTGCGAGGCTTGCTAGGCCTCTCACGCGCACACGCAGCCTGGATGTAAACAAATTAGCCGCTGAGAAGTGTCCGCATAGGTGGCGGGACAGCCTCCATCTGCCTTCCGCTCCAGATCTTCCTCCCCAGAGTCTGCGCCTCGGTTTTATTTCTTTTTATCAATGAATTAGCGCGGATGGTGATTACAGCTATACAGATGTGCATTGCCACAGATTAATCACGATCCAGCTGTGCGCTGTTTTGTTTTCAGCTGGTGCTTTAACACAGGGACACCGTGCACCATACTTGAGCCCACATTTTATGGGCCGAATGAAGTTAATGAGCACTGTTGCCCACTCTGGTATTTCTTATTTGTGTTATTTCTTATTTTTAAGGGTGATCTCAGTGAAATGAGAATTGCAGGGCCAGCTGTGAGGCCGCATTAGATGATACATTTCTCTGTATAATAGGTCACTTGTGTCTTATATCTCAAATTAAATGAATGAATGAGACAAACAAAGTCTGGAGCGCCCGTGAAATCAATTATTGAACATTTTGGGTGTTTGTCAGCGGTTTAACCTTTGGCCCACATTAATCCTTGTGAGATTTGTGTTCAGTGATTTTTGGACGACGTGTTGCCCAAGCCTCAGTGTTTTGTTTTTTTGGGTGTGTGAACTTGGTCCAAGTGAGCAGGTCGACCACGTAAATGTGTGGGCACCCATTCATAAAGTGGAACCTGTTGTTTTTCTTTTTGTCAGCAATGGTGGGACTCTCCAAGCTTCAGGTTGTGTTGCTTAAAATGGCTCCCGCCGGCCAGGTTCAAAGGAAACGATGTGGCTACTTTACACAGGTCATGTATGCAGACAGAACAGAGGCCCCTGAAAGGGGGTCTTATGAGACGGGCTGCTGGTACCCCTCCTTCCTGGTCTTTTTTATTTTTTTCCCTCTCTCGCGTCTCTCTCTCAGGGAATGGGGTACATGTCATTGGCTGTGAGTACTCTGGGAAGTGACCATATTTGGCACTTTTGAGATGTTTACGCCAAAAAAAAGGGGGTGGGGTCAGGGCAACAACCAAAATACTTTGAATATTTCATTCTGGATCCACATGCTGCCTGATACCTCCATCTCAGACACAAGAACGAGAAGAAGCCGTCCTGATAAATAACCCACGCCGTAGCCGACTGCACCTCAGAAAACATGTAACAAATCAGCTTTCACAGGCTGTTGTTTGATTGTGATTGGCCCATTTGTCACAGTTAATCAGGAAAGGTTGTTCAGATGTTGCCGCTGAGCTGTCTCCTGGTCTGACTTGTGAAAAACAAGTTGTGCAACTGCCCACTTCTGGCCCCGTCAGGCACGGCTGTGCTGCTTGTGAGCATGCATGAATATACATACGTGCACGGCTGTGTTTCTTTAACCAGCGTGGTCGCACAGATTGGCTCTTCCCCTCTTGCGGTCTCAATCAAATCTCCAGAGCGGTGTCATTTATTCAGGAGGAGCAGTTGAAGAGTTGCTCTGACAGCTCAGCTAATGGAGAACCGCGTGCTGTTGTAAAAATCGAGGCTCGGCCTCCATTTGTCTGCGAGTTTGTCTGTAGCCCCTTTTGGACACTCAGGCACTCTTCAGTGAAGTGCACGTTGGCATTTTCCGACAATGCTGTGCACGTTGTGGAATGTCTTTGAAGTGGCCCACCATGTAGGTGTGTGTGTGTTTCACTTCGAGTATGTGCCCCAGCCACCCTTTGCTGTCTGCAGGATCTCATTTTTCAGCTACTGGCCAGCCTACTTCCTGGCAATGTATGTTTTCTATTTATATTTATTTGTGTGTGCGTTGATGAGAACACTGTATTAGGCTTCATCCGCATGTTTATGGGTGTTTCTTTTCATTTTTAAATGGGCAGTTTGTTTTGACAAAAGCCTGCGTTGGCGTGTTTTCACGCTCGGAGGTCGTTTCCTCTGGTCCGCATCAGTTAATAAGTGAAACTTGTGGCTTTTTTCCTGACGCAGAAAAATCCAAGTGAACCCAAATGCATCACTACGTCACCACACGAGAACGTTCAGTTTGCGTGTCTGAGGCGGGAGCAACATGGATAATTTACATTCATTTCACGGCTGGTTGCAAACCTGTACAGACCTTTGCGATTTAAAAGTACCTTCATCCTTATGAAATGTTATTCCTCCTCAAACCTGCTGCGTAAACCGGCTTGTCGGTTCGGATTGAGGTCGGTTCACGTTGGTAAACAGACGCTGCTGAGACCACGTCCTCCACAGGGTCTCAGTATGGTTGTTTGGTCGGCACCCGGGTGCGATTACTGCTTTCACATCTTTATGAGTGAAAAGAAAGAAGAGTTTGATTTTAAGGGACTAAACACCGCAGGTGTGTGGACGTCCTCGGACTTCTGGATAAGACAGAAGAGGAAGTCTTCACGTCTGAGGTGGTCAGACAGAAGTGTAAACACAGAAAGCTGTATGTACAGGCTAATTTAGCATTAGCATTCACCTGCACTTTACCATAGTTTGCTGGAACAGCCTGTGCTGCCTGTTCATTGGCAACACACTGAATCTTAAGGCTTTCATATCGCGGCCCGACGTTGATTGCAAGTTGCTGCCGTTCATTTCGCACGGTTCCTCGTTCACAGAGGCAGTGGACAATCGGGGTCATGAACTGAGCCTCCACCGGCTGTGTACTGGGTCCTGAGTGTTGGCCAGGAAGGCGATATGTACTGCTACAGGAAATTAACTGTTGGGGTGCCTTTGCTAAGTGCTTCCTCCTTTGCTCTTATCTTTCCAAGTATCCCTTTCAACTTCTAACTTGCCACTGTGTGCATGTTCCCGGCAGTTTTTATCAACAGCGGAACAAGTGGGGATGGAAAACACGAGACGACTCTTCTGACTCCCACAAATTCACAGCTTGATGAGCCACTGAGTAAATGCATTTCTGCAGCACTGTGCTAACATGTTAGATTTACTTTTAAAATGCAATAAACATAAAGCCTGATTGGCACTGCATACCTGCAGGTGTCTGAGGCTACTAACCATAGCCTCAGACACCTGCAGGTAGTAGGTGGTCAGAGGTGGAGGGTCCACTCTGAGTTGGGAACGAGTTACTACCTCGATTAGAGAAGTTTAGGAGAATTTTAGGGTGTTGCTCACGAGTGAGGGAGAGCTGAGCGTAAAAGCAAGGCTGTCGCTTTACCTGTCGAGCTACGTTCCCACTGTCACCTGTGGTCACGAGGGTGGGTGGGTAGTAACTGAAAGGAGGAGCTTGCTGATATGAACAGTGGGAAGGAGTTTCCTCTGACAGGTGTCTCTCCCAGAGAGAGGCCTGTAAAATCTGTGTGAATATTTCATGCGTAAAAAGACTCTCCCGTCTGTAATGCAGGTGTTGCACATCTGAATAAACAGATCTGACCAATCAGATCACTGGATTTGGAAACAAGTGCACTTGTACCTCAAAATGTGCACCTGTGCTTATTATACAATGATGTGGAAATGGTCTCCAACCACCATGATACTGATTTGAAACTTTAATACAGGTGAAAGCGCAATAAATGCAATCCATTATTATTAAATGTAATTACTTGGAATTCTTCTTTTTTTTAAAAATCACGGTGAATGAAAATTTTACTGGTTTTGATGCTTACTACTGGTATTGTGACTTTCCAGTACTGTGCCAATACCAGCACTACTGGTATCCGATACCGATAGCCAGTCGTAACATGCTAGGAGGCAAATGTTGCCGCGCTGCTGTCACCTTGCAAAATAAGCAAACAGTCAAAACGCGTTGATCCCGACATAAACCTTTCATTACGAAGAGGAAACCACGCTGTAACATCTAACGGCCGTCGCCGTGATCAGGTGACGTGTTTCCAGTAGGGCTGAACGATATATCGCATTTGCGATAATATCGCGACATGATCAAGTGCAATTTTCTAACCGCAAAGGCTGCGATTATACTGCGATTATATTATACAATTCATGGGCTGCATCCTCCTGAGGCCGCATTTATAGACCGATTACGTCACAGCGACGCGCCGAAGGCTGTCCAAATTACTACCATATCCCAGAATTCATAGCGCGGCCCAGCCAAACTCCAGTTTCCAGCAATGGCGGCCGCTGCTAAGTTTTAAAATTACTCATACTAATCTTTCTGGGTCACAAAATAAACTTTTAACATATTTTCAGGCGAGAAAGTAGTTGTGTAAACATCAAATATCTGCTCGGTTTATCAAGATATCCAATATTTGCAAAAGTGCTTCGACGTTTTCAGAGGCGTCTGCTACCCACCAGCTCGACAGCTAGCCGGGAGCTCGAGGGTTACTGATGCGGCCGAGAACGGCACAACTCCCGGCACATCATTTTCAGATCACCGCGGAGTTTCGCTGCTCGGGTTAAACGTAATATATAAGTCACTTAGACAACCTAAAAATGTTATTGTTGGGCTTTTTTCAGTGTTTTGTTTGTTCGTGAGTAAATCGGTTTGGCTGAGATTAAAGTTATTAGATTAGATAAAATAAAACTTTATTAATCCCCCGGGTGGGTTCCTC